ACCCAAAGACACCTGATTTGGGACGTGGGTGTATTGGGTGCGTAGCACAGAGGTGGGGTGAGTGGGGGGGAGCGGACAGGTGTTAAAGCCTCAGACTGGGTGTGAGGGTGTCTGGGGTGTCTGGGAGGCGGGGAGGAGCCTCGGCTGGAGCAGGGGCAGCGCCAAGAGGCCTGGGGGCATCCTCCGCATCCCCCATCAGGCAGCTCGGGCAGCTCCCTCCCTCCCTCCCTCCACTGGCCAGCTCCAGTTTCTGGGCAGACAGCAGGAGTCAGGTTCGGCTTTTGTTCACTCCCCAGAGGGACGAAAGCGAACACCGAACACCGTGACTGCCTGCGTGACTACAGACACACAGACACCCTCCCCCCCGCCCCCCCTACCCCCAGCTGTCTCTCGGGACCTTTCATTCTCTCTTCTCAGCACACAGACCAGCCTCTGCACCTTGGCCCCGTCCTCCCAGCTGCCTGGCATACCCTCCCCACTCTTTTCTGCTTCTTTACCGCCAGCCTTTCCTTCAAGGCCCCAACACATCGCCATACTTGCTCTGAGCCTTCTCAGAGCCTTTCTGGGCCTCAGTTTCCCCATCCGTAAGATGGGATTTAACTGGAGCTGTGAGCCTCCAGTTAAATCCCCTTCCACCAGCCTCCTGCCCTTGTGTCAGGTTTTAGAAAAATCCCACAAGCAAGAAGATTGGAGTTTTTAGAGGTTCATAGATGCCCACTGCCTCACTGCTTCCTGGAAAGTCTGTCTCTCATTTTTATTCTCTGGAGTTACTATTTAATTCATTCAACAGACATTTATTGGGTCCCAACCATGTTCCAGACCCTGTGGTAGGTGCTGGCGATCAGGCCTGGCTTCACGGACCCACGCTCGGAAGGGCCCCATGTTTGGTTTAATGCTGTCTTCTCTGACATGGTAGGGGAATAGACCCAGAGGAAACAGAATGTATTCAGTAGGGGACACAGTGTGGCATCAGGTGGGGAGAAGAGCAATAAAGAACAAAAACAAAAACAAAACCCTCTTCAGGTGCCTTCCAGGGTAGACAACAGGAGAGGAACCGGCCGTGTGGACAGTGGTGGAGGGAGGGTGCTCCAGGTAGAGGACACTGCAAGATCAGAGGCCCAGACCAGAAAGGAGGTCACTGCGACAGGATGGGCCTGACCAGGGCAAGTGTAGGGGAGGTGAGCTCCGGGAGATGACCGGGGTACTGTTCAGAGCAGGGGTGGACCAATTCTCCCTGGAAAGGGCCAGGCAGTAATATTTTTGTCTTCGGGGGCCCTCAGACCTCAATTCGGCCAAGGCGAATTGGATGGGCGAGGCTCTGTCCCAATAAAACTTTATTTATAGACACTGAAATGTGAATTTCAGGTCATTTTCATGGATCACAAAATATTACTCTTCTTTTGATTTTTTTCTGCCCAAACCACCTATAAGTGTGAAAACCATTCTTAGCTCTTGAGCTGCACAAAACCAGGCGGGGGTGGGATTCAGCCCTGGGGACCAGTTTCTGTAGACCCTTGGGGACCCCCCCGAGAGCAGTCTGGATTTTACGCTGAGTGAGGCTGTTGGAGGCTTTTGAGCAGAAGAGAGATAAGAGTTGATGCAGGCTTCAGGAAGCTGGGGGACAAGGGCAGGGGCTAGGAGACCAGGGCAGAAGTGTCCCCACATGGAGCCTGCAGTGATGGGGCTGGACTGCAGGCAGGAATGGGTACGTGCATAGAGCTGACAGCCAGTGGGGTTGGCTGGTAGATTGAGTGTGGCACAAGAGAGGGGGATGGTGGTGCCCACGTGCCCCAGGGTGAGGGGGTTGAGGGGTATTTGTCTGAGCTTGTATAGAATCCAGGAGGACAGGCCAAGGTACTGGGAAATCCGAGGCCCGAGCTGGGAGATCCATTTCAGTTTCCTCCCTGGGCAAGCCTGAGAGGGGCACTCTGCCTCTGGGTGTGAGAGACAGAAGCCCTCAATACCCACCCCTCCCCAATTACTTATTACCAGACTCCCCATTTATTGGCCCCACCTCTCCCTCCTCCTGCCCAAAGGTGTCCTGAGAAGAATCACAGACAGATCTTGCCCCCGGGGGACACTGAGCCATGTCTAGGGACGTCTGTGGTGGTCACACTGGGGGTGCTCCTGGCATCGAGTGGGCGGGGCTAGGGATGCCACTCAGCCCCCCACAGTGCCTGGGACAGCCCCCCAACAGAGAGTGGTCTGGCCCTGAATGTCCGCAGTGCCTCGGTGGAGGAACCCAGCTGTATGGTGCCTGTTGCATTATCTATCCCGTTTAGCAGTTGGGGAATTGAGAGCCAGAGAAGGAACGTGACTGGCCCAAAGTCACACAGTGTGCATAACATGACCAAGCTGGATTCAAGCCCCCCCCCCCCCGCCTCCTGTCTGCAGTCATGGCTGCTAACCCCAGGTTCCAGAAGGCTGTCTCTATACCCATCCCTTCTCTCCCCTGTCATCCCTGTGTCCCCACCCCCAACCACCCCATGGCCCCTTCATGAATTTGCAGCCACATCAACACAGTGGACCATCCCACATTTTGGAACCTCTCGTAGCTTCCCCAATGTCCCCCATTCCTGGATTCCCCCTCCTTCCGTGGACACACCTCCTCCTCTGCCCTACCCTTAAGTATGACCCCACCCACCTGGTCCTGGACCAGGGCATGGGCAACTGGGCTGGTGGAGGAGAGCGATAATTTCATGATTTCTCCTGAACCTGGTCTTGTCCCTGCCACCCCCCCAACTCCTGCCCATCCTCTAAGTTTCAGCTCAGATGCCCTCTCTTCCGGGAAGCCCTCCCAAACTCCCCAGTGTCAGGAGTCCTCTCTGAGCTCCCAGCTGGCCTGGGCTTCCCCCGTTACAGCCCTGATCACCCTGGTTCATCAATCCCTAGGTGTATATGTCTCCCCAGGGACCCCAGGGATAGCAGGGACATCTGTCTTGTCATCGCTGGGAGCCAGTGCCCCGCGCAGCGCCAGGCACCCCATAGGACAAATGGACTCAGTGACTGAAATTCACATGGCTCAGAGGGCCTGGCCTTGTGAGTCATTCATTCACTCAGCAAACATTTATGCTGGGGTGCCTGGCCTGTGTCAGGGAGGCCTCGGCCTGGCCCTGCTGTCAAGGGGCCCCCAGTCTGAGAGAATACCCAGCGGACAGAGACCCTACCAGCCCCTGGGAGGAGCTGGGTCCTCTCCGTGTTCTGGTGATTTTACTGACCACCTACGATGGCCTGTGTCCTCAGGATTCAGCATTAGATATGCACACGGGCGCAAGCACATCCGTGTTTGACGAATGAATCCATGTTTACTGCACTTACTATGTGCCGGGCACTGGTGAGTGCTTTGCGTGGCCTATCTCGTTAGTCCTCCCGAAAACCCTCTGCGTGCAGTAGCAACTGTTTATTTTGAAACCCATTTTCCAGGTGAGGAAAGTGAAGTCCGAAGCAGGTAAGCAAGTATTTTGGCCGGGTCGTATAGGTGTTAAGTGCGGAGGGCCTGGGGATAGGGCCCTGGATTCAGATTCGTTTGTCAGCCTGCTGGGTCCCCCTGGTGCGTGAGTGCATGAATGATGGCCCGGCAGAGTGGGAAGCTCTGGCTGCCGGGGGCTCAGGCCCGGAGTCACCTGCGACCCGCGGCCAGCTCGGACGAGGCGGAGACGCTGCGGGCGGGTCCCCGGAGATCCAGCGGGCAGCCCGCGGGGCCAAGGGAGCCGGCCTCCTTGGCCACATCCTCCTCCAGGCAGGAAGGTCAGGGAGTGCCCAGGCGGCACCTGGTCTCGGAGCCTAGCCCCTCCCCGACACGACACGACCCCCACCGTGGGGGCGGACCTCCAGGAGGGGGGGTTGGGGCGCGCGGGCCGGGCGGCAGAGCTCCACCGGACCCCCACCCCTCCTTCGAGTCCCCCCCAAGTTCCTCCCTCCGGACCCTCCAGCCCCTCCCTCCAGCGCCCTGCATCCCCTCCCTCCGACCCTCCGTAGCCCCGCCCTCCGGGCCTTCCCTCAGCGCCCCCCCCCA